TAAATTAGAACTCATGAGGCATAAATTAGAACTAACATGAGATGCGACAGAACTAACATAATATAAATTAGAACTAACATGGCATAAATTAGAACTAACGTGACTTATGGTACGACAAACGTGACGTCGACTAGAACGAACATGACTCATGGTAGAACTAGTATAGAGCCAACAAGAACAAACATGCATTTTAGTCAAAACTAACACATTAATTTAAAACTAGCATGTGCTTACAAGAAAGAACATCGATACGACTCTAAATTTTTTGTCATATGCCTCTTGCTGAAGCATATCCAACACTGCTTCTTCCATCTGTAACATTAATGAAACATTAAAATTCAATATTAACAAGACATTTTCAATTATTAAGCATATGTAATCTAACCTTGTCGTTAAGTCGGCCACCACGAAGTAAATATAACAACTCTTCTCTATTCATACTGCTATTGGATGTTTTTATGACATCATATCTCCTGAAAATTAGAACTAACTTGAATAGGACTAACATGTGACGAATTATTGCTTGCATAAATAGTCAATTAAAACTTACTTATGAATCTTTTGGGCGCAAAATTTGTTTAGACAATTATTCTGAGCTTTGTCGAGTCTGGCTGCTACTGAAGGTGGTATCCTAAAATTATGTACAAAAGAACCTCTGCTATCTATTATGCGTATGCTAAACAATGCAGGGTCTGGAATCTCTTTATTTAGCTCGTCCAATAGATCTTCCTCCTCCTTTGTCATTAGCTTCAAACTCAATGCATCCCAAGTGGGAATTTGATTGCTGGGGTAAAAATGAGTAACTTTGCCAACTGAATGTACATATTCAGGACTTGAAAATATATTTATAGTAACTTTTTACTTTTTCTTTCCCTTTCCTTCTGTGTTTGGGGTCCTCTTCCATTTAGACCTCTTGCTTACCCTTCTTGTCGGTGGCTAACCTTCGTTTGCACATTACTTGTTAGAGAAGCTATACTTTTGTCCACCTGTTGTCTAATATTTACAAAATCCTCTTGCTCCTATGCTTCCAACTCCTCTACAACTTTACTATCAACATGATTGCTATCTGCACCTTTGTTATCTACAATCTCCTTTTTATTATCAATATGATCCTCTTCGCTATCTACATGTTCCTCCTCCATATCTACATTCACCTCAACATTAGTATCTACATTCTCCTCAACCTTACTATCTACATTCTCCCCTTCTCTACCAACATGCTCCTCTACCTTATTCCTCAACCTTACTATCTACATTCTCCCCTTCTCTACCAACATGCTCCTCTACCTTATCTGCATTCTCCTTCTCCTTATCTATATTCTCATCAACCTTACTATCAACATTCTCCCCTTCTCTATCTACATTCTCATCTTCCTTATCTACAATATCCTCTTCCCTATCTACAATCTCCTTTTCATTATCAATATGATCCTCTTCCTTATCTACATGTTCCTCCTCCATATCTACCATTCACCTCAACCTTAGTATCTACATTCTCCCCTTCTCTACCAACATGCTCCTCTACCTTATCTGCATTCTCCTTCTCATTATCTATATTCTCCCCTTCTCTATCTACATTCTCATCTTCCTTATCTACAATCTCCTCTTCCCTATCTACAATCACATTTTCACTATCAATATGCTCCTCTTTCCTATTTACAAGTTCCTCCTCCATATGTACATCCTCCTCAACCTTATTATCTACAATCTCCTCTTCTCTAACTACATCATCAACATGATCCTCAACATCTTCTTCAACAGTCTTATGTATAGCTTCTTGCATGGTGGGGTCTTTCTTATGTACACAACTTGATTTGGACTTCTGTTCCTCCTCAGCTACCCATGGTTTCAACTTCATTTTTTTTTTGTAATTTTCTGTTTGATATTTGCCTTCAGCATCACCGGGTCTATAACATCATCGTGTCTTCCAAATTCTTAAATTATTTTGTTTAGCATGTGGATCTCAATCATAAATTCTTTACAATATGTACTCTTGCTCTACTTTGTGGCAAATAGTATTCGTTTGAGAAATTTAGCAGAATTTCTCCAAAAAATAAGTTGTTGCTCAATGGGTAGACCATTCACCTCTTCTTCATCTTCAAAAGCAGCGTCAATATGCTTTGCCATGATCTGAGATTATGAAGATATTATAATTTAAAGTAGGATTAGACATAACATGGATATTGTCTATTTGTTTATAATTTAGGGATTCAATATCCCAAAATATGTGAAATAAGTTAGACTCAACATAACAAGATACTTACATAGCCTATTGAGAAGTTCTTATTCGTTTCCTCTTCATTCGCCTTCCTCTTTGCCTTAAGCTTATGATGCACTCATTCACCCCTCTGTACTGCGGGAAGTGCATGTACATTTGAAGGAATAGGTCTAACTTCCACAATAGGCCTATGAACAAAAGTTATTGAAGCTGACTTAGGCTTATTTGTAATTATCCTAACCCTTATAGATGAGACTTTCATCTCCTCTGATGCCCAACTTGTCATTGGAGGTCTGGAGCTGTCAACGTATGTATATTTCTTTATGCCAGTCATCTTGTAGTACTAAAACTATAGTAAATACATTAAGCATTCAAATTAGAACTAACATAGGTGCAGCTAGAACTAACATGGCATAAAGTAGAACTAACATGACATAAATTAGAACTCACATGGTAGTTCTAAATTAGAACTAACATGGTATAAATTAGAACTCATATGGCATAAATTAGAACTAACATGATCTGTGATAGAATTGATATGAATTCAATTAGAACTGGCAAACAGGTTCTCTATTAGAACTAACATGACACCAACTAACATGACTCCTATTTCTACAAGTGATTACATCTCCACTATATCAAGTTTAGTTACTATATTCGTATTATCAAAATTTTGAGAATTAGCGAGTTTGCTACAGTAATGTGCTTAATCTTGCTACCGTAAGAATGACAAAGAAAAGGCAAAAGAAAACAAGAAAAAAGGAAAATTAGAAACTCAAGCCATTGAAAATTCAAGAATGAACAAAATGAAGAGACAACAGAACAAGTAGCAAAGTACAAACCTCAAGGACCCACAAGGATTTATTAATTTGAGAGGACTAGATTATATATATGAATTTCTTTGTATTTTGATAACAAGGAAAATAAAAGGACGGTAGCTTTCGGTAAAAGGACGAAACTAATAAGAGAGAAAGTAAGTGGTACAGTCTCACGGACCTATAGTACAAGACACCCATGCACACACCTAACCATGGTTAAATTTTAATGGTATTAAAATGGAAAGAATGAATAAAGTTAGTGGATGACACATGTCACTTTTGATTGAAGTTGAGTATGCCGAGGTGGTACTCCATGAGTATGTAAGAATTTTTCTCAAATTAGGTGTGAGTTGGCATGACCTGTCTCGGTCAAACTTAACTTGGCTTAGAGCTCAACCCAGCCCATAGCAGTCTGGCCTGACTTGACTCAAGTTGGCCCGGGCCATATGGGCTCGAGGCTCGGGTCGAGACCTGAGCCTTGGGCCACTGTCCACCACTAAACCAGACAACTCTTAATTTAACATTTTTTTTAGTTATTATTTATGCAAATGCAAAAAGAAATCTCGAAACTCCACTTTCATCATCAGTTAAGCTCCCAAATTTTAAACATTTCCTAAGGGCAATATGGTAATTTATCACTGAACTTCTTCCTCTGTTTGCATCTTCAGAACTTCAGTCTTTGTAGCTTGAGAAGTCGGTTGTTGACGAGGCCAATGTGGAAGATAAGAAGTAATAAAATGTCCAGCCATGATAAAGCGGTGGTAGTGTTTCACACATTTGTTGTCATTCTATTACAGAAAGTGAAATAGAATGTTTACAAGAAGAGTTTAAAGGGGCGGTAGTTGTCACTACTGCTAGTTAAGTAAAGGGAATGTCACCGTTGAGATCAACAATATAGCCGGCAGGAGCTAAATAGTAGCAGTAATCGTAGCCGTAGGGTGCATTATGAATTTGGCCACTACCACTACCACCAGCTTAATGATAATAATACTGAAAATGTGAGAAATGTGTATAAGCACTTCCACCGACCAAATGGGGAGGATAAAGAGTATTTGTGGGAAGGATGTAGTGATCCATGGAAGAATTAAGAAATGAGTTTCTGATTATAAGAATTTTTTTCTTTTTGTAAGAGAAGAATATGACATAGACTTTTATTATTTTCTTTTTTTTATAACAGGTATGACTACGATTTTATAACAAAATTATTATCTATGAAAAAGAAATGAGACGAAGAGAGGAAAAGATATGAGATTTGAAGAGGGATATGGCTCCTATTTATAGAATATATGAGACCGACTCAAAAATTAACTTTGAACCTCTGTTCAAATTACTGAGCACAACATCGATAATCTATAGATATGATATAAAATAGATGATTTGATAAAAAGGAACCTATAAATTAGACGATTTGATTAAAAAAAACCAATAAAACATGTGATTTGGCAAAAGAAATCCCACTCACCCACTGAAAAGAGTTGTTTGACTCTTTCTTTTCTAGCAGCAGAAGCTAAAAAAGAAAGAACCAAATGACTCTTTCTCTTTGAGAAAGAGGAAACACGCGGGCAACAGGCTCACATGACCATCCTAGCATGGAGGATTCGTGACACAGTGATTGATAGCTACAGGGACCCCTGCTGGAGGAATCCCAGTAGGCCTCAGTGAGATAAAGCTTGTTGTTGCTAGCATAAGCGAAATGCCAAAGGCCCACCTAAAATATGACCGGCTTTGTTAGCAACATGTTAATTAATTAAAGCGAATTAAATTTTACTAGGCTGGACTAGAGCTCACTCAGAACACGCGAGAGCTGACCTCGGGTCTGCTCCTAACCGGGCCTAACCTCTCGCTCCCGTGTCTGGGATCGAATCCAGCCGGGCCCAAGGCCCACATCAATATCGGCCCCTAATTGACATGACCTGCTATGGGCCGAGCCGGTATAAGCCAAATTACGGGCTGGGCCGGACCGACAAACAGCCTTCCTCGTTCCCTCTTTTAATCTTCTCCCGACCCTCAACAATCCTCTCTCTCTCTCCAATGGCGACTCGCTCTCTCCCGATCCTCCGCCGCCTCCGATCATACCCAATTTCCCCTTTCCACCGCCGATCCGTCACCTACATGCCCCGACCAGGCGAAGGCGCGTCCCGCACCGTAACCCTAATCCCCGGCGACGGAATCGGCCCTCTCGTCACCGGCGCAGTCCAACAAGTCTTCGCGTCGATGCACGCTCCAATAGAATTCGAGGCCTTCGAAGTCCACGGCCACATGAACTCGATCCCGAAGGAGGTGATGGATTCGATTCAGAGGAACAAGGTTTGCTTGAAGGGGGGGCTGGCGACGCCGGTCGGCGGAGGAGTGAACTCGCTGAATATGCAGCTGAGGAGGGAGCTGGATTTGTACGCCTCGCTTGTCAATTGCTTCAACTTGCCTGGGTTGCCGAGCCGACATGAGAATGTTGATATTGTGGTGGCCTCGCTTGTCAATTGCTTCAACTTGCCTGGGTTGCCGAGCCGACATGAGAATGTTGATATTGTGGTGATAAGGGAGAATACCGAGGGGGAGTACTCGGGGTTGGAGCATGAGGTGGTTCCTGGAGTTGTGGAGAGCCTTAAGGTAGTTTTTAATTTCGTTAAAAGATGAAAATTTTGGGTGTTTTTTTAGAATATTTCTATTGGTGAGGTCGAAAATCTGGTCAAAGATGGGTTTTTTTTATTATGGATTGAAATCAAAATGAAATGCATATGGGTTTTGTTTATAGCGATGATAACTCAACTTTAAGGCAGATATAAGTTCAAACTTCAACGGCAACAGAATTGGTGAAATAAATCAGAATGCGTGAAATGAAAAAACATCAATCCTTTGTTTATCTAAATATTCCAAATGTTTAGTTTAAATGGTATGCTACGTCCTGTTATCAGATTAATGGATTGGAAGCTTTCAAATATGATTGTTTTATTTTTGCACATGTTTTAAGGCTTGTTTAGTATTACTTGTAGTGTAGCAATTTCAAGGTTGATCATCATTTATTTTAACATGTTCCATAAAGTTGCATATCAATCAATCACTCCATAGCATGCCACATGCACAAAAACACTCACGCAAGCATACACACGGACCCCCTCCTATGATGTCTATCATATCAGTAGGTGGACGGCCTACACAGAAATAACTCTTTGAATGAGAATTTAGAAGATTTTAGGCGTTGATTAGTTTCTGCTTTTGTTTACGGTGCAACAATTTAATTCATTGAACTTTTACTAATGCATTTTGGGCGCTTTAAATGTATTGCAGTATGTAAAACTTTCCAAGTGTGTGTGTGGGTAGTAACTTCGTACATATCCTTCTACGTATTGTACTGCTAGTGTAGGGAGAACCCATGGAAAAAATTGTTTTGAAGTTGAAAAAAATCAAGTAAGACCAGCATTACGATGCACATTCAGTGTTCGGTAGAAAAAGAAAAATGCATCATGGCTATTTTCTTTATTTGATGAAAGTTGGAGACTATTTATTAAAAAGTTAAGCCACTTTTCCAGAAATGAGATTACATTGTTCTTTGTAACTTTTATCTGTTTATGTTAAGTTAGCAGTCCTGGGGTTATTCTCATTCTCATCCAGGGAATTTGTTAGGTTATAACAAAGTTCTGTTCAGAGCGCATAGCAAAATATGCTTTTGAATACGCATACCTCAATGATAGAAAGAAAGTCACCGCTGTACACAAAGCCAATATCATGAAGCTAGCAGATGGTTTATTTTTGGAATCGTGTCGTGAAATTTCCAAAGATTACCCGGGGATTGAGTACAACGAGATCATAGTGGACAACTGTTGCATGCAGCTCGTATCAAAGCCAGAGCAGTTTGATGTGATGGTATGTTGAAATGTATTTATTTTCTGTATTCATATTGTTAATTATACATTTTCCATAAAAATCATTACTCTTTCTTTCTTAGGTTTTACAAAAGCTACATTTCGTTTACCTTCCATAAAAAGTTTATATTAGTTTCTAGGTGCTAAATAGCATCTTATCGAAACTTCCTGTCTGAATTCTATAATAAATTCATTCTGTAGCTTTAACTGCAAATTTTCCTGAGATTGGAAATTAACCTTTTCTGCTTTGCACAGTTCTTCATTTTTCATGCAACTAGGAGGAAGTGAAACCTTTCACCTATTCCCCGCAACTGGCTAGTTATGTTTTGGGCTCCTCTTCTGTACTTGTGTATGTGTCTGTGTTTGCAGTTCAGCACGAACTGTTCTTCATGTGGTGTGCTTGTGTCCATGTTAGTTGCATCTTTGTTTCTTTTTTCCCCTTCTTTTTATTGTTTGGAGGCGAGGGAGACTGTGGGATAGGGTTGTCTGCAGGCATGACCTAATTGTTTGGTTGTGGATGCTTGATGACATGGACTATTGTTCTCTTACTCTGCTTCTTCTTCTCTTTATGTCTTGCTTGTGATTTTTCAAATATTACTTACTATTGAGATGTTTTTTGTTTCCTCTTTATGAGTCAACTTCTAAAATTTTTCCCATTTCATAGGGATACTTTTTTTCCCATCACGTTGTAGTCATATACATGTTTACTAAGATATGACAGGTTCTAGACCTTTGAAATTCTGCTATTCCTTCCCTTTGGTTGCATTTTCTCATTGTTAATTATATCCAGATATCATCACAACCAACAAATACATCGACAGATTTCCTGTTTCAGTAACTTAAGTCTGTTCCGAACCCCAGGAGCCAAGGGTCTTCTGGACATTGCTATGGGAACTTTCGCAAGTGCACCATAATTTTGATTCCTCAAATAAAACCATTTATATAACCTATGGGCCTCTGGATTTATTGCCAAGAATTTACATATATGGTGGCTGTGTTTAGCTTGACACAGATCTAAGTGATCTTATTAGTTTGCCTTTCTTTACTTGGGTTTATGTATTTTTTGTACATTTTCAGGTGACACCAAACCTGTACGGCAATCTGGTGGCAAACACTGCTGCAGGCATTGCTGGTGGCACTGGGGTCATGCCAGGAGGTATTGACCAAACTAAAGGCTAAATTGCAAGATTGGTATTTTTAGTAGGACCATATTTCCAATGATACTTTTTCTTTCACTTGCGTCATTATGTTATTAATATCAACATGTTACGTCCATTTGGTATTATTTTATATAGGAAAAATAACCAAATTGGAATATTTAGTAATAGAAAAAAGCTAGATTGGTATTAATTTTGATATTGACACCATAGCGTTGCAAGTGGAAAAAAAAAAAGAAAAACCAAATTGGATAAAGGGTCCTACTAAAATTGCCAATGGTAGTTTAGCCCCAGACTAAATAAACTTTCTTGATAGTATCAATTATTATTATTTCTAGCAGTATGTTTTCCATGTGTTGGCCACCAATGTGTCGGTGTCAGCCACTAGTGCCCTCTCATACGCTGAACACAAGGACCCTGTTCCTTAAACATCTTTCCATATCTGAATTTGGGGTAGGTCTCGACTCTCTGTAAGCTGCTCTTGTTAGTAGAAACTCTACCTCTTCTAAACTACCGCGTCAACAAGGGCAGCTTATTTGCTAGGGTCAAACAGATGCCAGTTTAATCTTATGAGTAGAATTTCATTTGCTATTCGTTCTTTCAAATGTCTCCCTAGCGGCATTAAATGGGTGAGCATGTTTTGCCCATTTACCCATTTATGACCCATTTAATATTTTCTAAATGGGCGGGCTTTTGCCCACTCATTTAGTAAACGTGCCACCCATTTGCGTATTTAACTATAGTAGTTATATAGATAATACTTTTTGGGTGTTTTTTGTAAACTTTTGGGGGGCTTTTGTAAACTATTAGGGTCTTTTTGCAAAATATTGGGGGCTTTTTGCAAACATTTTGGGGGTTTTTTGCAAACATTTGGGGTGCTTTTTGCAAACGTTTTGGCCACTAAAATCCACTAGATGAGAACAAAAATTGTGCCCGATGATAATGAAACAATCTAAATTCATGGTGTATCCATAAAATTAGGATAAAGTTATAACTGGCCTAAGTAAATTCAACAAATAAAAAAAATTCAACTAAGGTCGTACCTATACACAACAATTCTAAACTGCGTCGACGCCTCAAGCTGCACCTTCAGATCCTCCGAATAAACTCCCGCCACCATCGCCGACAAGCTCTCTAGCTT